GATCTAATGCCTTTTGATGGCTAGTTTATGATCATGGGTACGAAGACAAAGAGGACGTCAACTTTTTCCAATGTAGTGTTTTTTGTAGTCATTGCATCTTATTTTGTAGATGATGTTGGATTTATCTTCTTTCGATGTTGAGTCTTTTGGTTGAGTGAAGTGACTTTGTTGGTTTGAGTGTGACATCAATTCCTAAACGTTTGAAGAGTCCTGCAGTGATTTCTGAGATGCCTTTTACATATAGTACAGGAGATTTTCTTTGTACTTTCCTTGGAGGCCTTTGATTTAGTAGGTTGGCTTGGGGGTAGGTGTTTTTTGATGAAGTTTCGCGGATATCCATTCTTTTGAAAAACGCCCATGAGATATCTCTCTTCTGAAATAATAGAAAAGATTTGTAACTATGGTGGATGATTTGCAATTATTAGGGTTCTCTGAGCTGGTTGGTTTAGTTGCGGAGCTTTCGTCGTCTTTCTGGACGGCAATAATCCAATTACTCACAAAAGAAACTGTGTGCAGACATTGTTTAAAAAAGTTCAAACACACTGTAGCACTCCAGAGTTGAAAAGAGTGGAAGAAAAATACCTACTAACGGTCTTCAAGAAGAATGGTTGTCCAAAACATTTCATCAAAAAGTGTTTAAAGTCGAATGAAAGCACGAACAAAGAACCATGACCAAAGACCAAAAAGAAATTCATCCTACCATACATCAGAAATATCTCTGAAATAACAGCTAGAATAATGAAACCGTTTGATATAGATGTAGCACACAAACCAGCCGAATCGCTTAATTCGATATTGTGCAAACCAAAAGATCCGACAGAAAAAGGAGATAAAATTAACACCATCTACAAAATAAATTGTATGAACTGTAACAAACATTACATCGGCCAAAGTGGGCGTCCCCTTTGAATAAGAATCCAAGAACACAAGTCAGCCGTGAAAAAACATGATATAAATTCTTTAGTATCAATGCATACAGATAATTATGGACATCTATTTGATTGGGATAATATCAAAATCTTAAACAGAGGAAACACCAAATGTGCCAGGGAATTTCTAGAAGCCTGGTTCTCAAACGAAAATGCCATTAATAAACACGTTAATATAGATAAAATGTATCAACTAATAAAAAGCAAATCAGATGACCAGAAAGTTTAAAATCCCAATCAATAGATAACGGTCAATACATATGTGAAGATGGTTGGTCACCAGGAGACGCAATTGTATCATCATTCATGAAGATTTTTAAATCATTTAACTTTATGCTAAATACTGCGCTAAAGATGCCGTTCAGAAAGACGACGAAAGCTCCGTAACTAAACCAACCAGTTCAGAGAACACTATTAATTGCATATCTCTCTTTTATTTTCCCTAACGTGGGAGTGCTGCAATGAGTTTTTGTATACAACTCAACACACAAAAGGAGGTGTACTAATCCATAAGAAGAAAATCTCATGCACAAAAATTCACACTTCAGGTCAAGGAAACAATCAACACTAATACAAGTAGCTTAGAGGGTGTGAAAACACGCCAGCCATGTTCAAAGTAACCAGGAGAGATGATTAGTAAACTCGTAGAGAAATCTAAAAGCTCACTTCATTAAATTGAAGTGTGCGTTGAAGATGTTTCCTAGTAGGGTGATGAAAGCTTCGCGAATTAACCATCCAGTTCAGGAACACAACTACATCAAAATGGTTTGACTATTCCTAACTCTTTCCCAATCGAATCCTATATTGGCTAACATTGCCCATCGAGGTTGTCGGTGTCTCGGTATCCTAGCTACCTCGAACGATGTTGCTCCAAAACTTCGTCATTTGACTTACCTTCCTTATCTAGTACTTTACACCTAGCTATCCTCCTACTCGATTTAATGAATCCTGCTAGTCACAACTTCTCAAAACAACTCCATTGCCAGAACTTCAAATACCCATCAAGGTGTATGTTACAAGTCAGTCAGAAGAAAGGCATATCAAGTTGTGTATTGGTTTATTGAACACATCACTAATCGAAGTCTGAAAGTTTAAGAGAGTTCATTATCTCTTCGACACTTTGACAAGTGTCGTGTAATCCTGAAGTCAAAAAGTTTGATCCAACTAACCCTTTGAAATGCCCTCAAACCTACGTAAACGAAACACTTGATGTCCTGACAAAAAATACAGACATCATCCTTTAAGTCAAATTCCCAATTTTCAATTTACACAATTCGAGGAGGTATAGCCTTATCATAGTTTCTTTAAGAAATCAAAATTATTCAGATGACACTATATGATCACTTCAATCTGCCTAGTGAACAGTACTGGTTCACATGAATGGTATATAACTACTCATTTCAATCAATCAGTAGTTTATAACTTTGTGCAGACATTATCCCCATTCGACGCTATAATGACATTATTTATTTAAGACTTTTAACCCCTGCTGATATTTCTAAACTGGATATATATATCAACTTCATTTTGCTATATGAGCTTCTTAAAATGACTTCTCAATATTTTAGCATTATTTCTCAATTCGAGTTATTTGTCTCACGGTAACCTGCATTATTGTATACGATACGCATACAGCCTTCTTTAGGACTTATCAGTTGGATGAGCATTATTGTTCCTAGCACCTTTTTACTTAACACTCCAGACCTAGCCTCAATATCGCCCATTATATATATATAATACCTTCTACCATGGGAGACAGAACGCAAACATCTCTGCCTGTTTGTCCTAAGTTTTGTGCATGTTGGTTATCGTGAAATACGTGTGTTCCTCAGAGGTGTAAGAAAGCATATATTTTCTTCCGTATTGTAAATATTCATTATCATTCAATATTGCAAATTCAAGCTTAACTAGAAGATTGTTCAAATCACAGTTATTATTTGCATTTGTTAAAAGCCGAACAGACTACCTGTAAACAAAGATGATTTCGGTTGTTTAGAAGTTCTATTTTAAGACGTTTTCTGTTCCACCTACCAACCATTGCAACGATGACTATAACGGTACTGACATCAAAGTCTAGTATTGATTTCTTCACAAACTGATATCAGTTTGAGAGTTCTTCCAGTCTGATTATCATTATCCCCTTGTGTTCTGAGTGGAATATGAGGCTTCAACATCATATCATCATCATATCTGTATCTTGTACTGTACTCCACAATCCTGTGTAGTTGTCCCCACGATTGCGAATAAGCTTCCATCTCCTTCATTTCACTCTCAGAAACACACCCAATTCGTCGTTTCCCGTTCGAGCTCCACTCGAGGGCCTGGCGGGAGATGGGTTCATTGCCAGAGTTTCTTGTTGGTGATCTTTTCTAGCCAGTCATCTGGTCTTCAGTTTGCAGTTAGCTGTTGATAAAAGTCTTCAGTTGGTTTTTTGAAATACTTTTCGCGACGTACCATATTTCTGAACCACATAGAAGAAATGATTCACTTAATATTGGCTTGGAAACTTCGAATTTTGTTTTTTTATGTTGAATTCAATAGATTTCCAAACTAACTTCAAGGTGATGAAGGTCTGACTTGACTTTCCTATCTTGGTTTTGACATCGTGAAGTTGAAATGATGCTGCTAGCACAGGTGGGAAGAAGTGATCTCTTCTAAATTTGCTCTGTTGATGGTGATAGATTTCTTCATCACCTCTGTCCTCCCTACCTTCACTTGAACTCCTGTTTTCACTGCCTGCCTGAGAATATACGTGACACTAGATGTAAATCGTCCACGAAATCCAGAGCTTCAAGAATCTTCTTATCGGTCCAAGGTATTCGTTTTTTCTGTCTTCCGAATAATCCAGTCTACCATAGTCAGAACTATCACTGATGCTGGTAGGCGGTCTTTTTTTACTCCTATCTACACTTCAAAGGCTTCCTTGAGTGCTACTGAACTTAACGCTAACTCACTTCAGAGACTCATGGATTGACTTGTTACCGTCAGGGAATAATCTCGTCGACTTAGAATATGCAGATGATATAGTCCTACTAGGTGAAGATGCTGACAAAATGCAGAGTCTTCTGAACACCTTGAGTTGTATTCTTCGAATGTTTGGCATACGATTTGCTTCCGCCAAATGTAAAATGATGCTACAGGACTGGACTACATTGACTCTTAGCCAAAAAATAGGGAATGAAGTGGTAGAGCGTGTTGACCACTTCACTTATTTGAGAAGTTGCATCAGCCAGCGCCATTGAGAGTGGAGGACATGAAAAGCCTGGCTAGCTGTCTTTGATTATAGAAGCCTTCGTTGTATCTCCCGTGTGAAGTGGTATAATAGGGTGAGCATTATTGAGGTTAGGCGTCGAGTGCTCTGTTGGGGGGGGTGAAATCAGTTGACGGGGCTGCAAAGCTACATCGATTGAGATGGCTTAGAAAATCTGTTACGCATACCTAGTCATTGTCCTCCTCGACAATGATATCCACAATAGTTAGTTTAAGCCACGTAGGAAGGTACACACTCCCTGGTTCGGGTCCTCGGGACGGTAAACACCAATGGCTGGAAAAAATTGGTGATATGGCTCAAACTCATCGTTCTCAATGACTGGCTCAGATGCATCCACTCCTTGTAACTTATAATACCCAATAGAACTATATTGTTCTTCGATATTACTGTTCGTTTTGCCTCATATCTCTGTTTGCTGTCTCTATTTTGCATTTATTTTTACTTTTTTCTTCTCACTGTGTTCTGAATGAAATGCGGTATCTCGAACTTCTGCACATCAGTGCACAGTTCAATGTCAAAACCAGACAGACAATTGGGTTTTCCGTTGTGGATCACCTAACATGTGGCATTGTCATCTCCATCAGTTGGTGTACCGGAACCGACTGTTTACTTAGTCATTATTTAATTGTAATCACAACAAATATGAGCAAATAATATGTACCATTTTGTTGTTGTATTAGTAATCTTCCTGTAGTAATGTGAATAATATTGTTTAAATCAACTCTTTATGTGCGTGTTTTTTTTCAATGAATCTCGTTTATTTTATGTTCTTTTTTTAAAATTCCCTCCGCCCCTTATAGGATTTCGAGAGAATGCGATGGACTTTATCAATACAAAATGGTCGATATAATCATCATTCAGTGTCCTGTCTACGAATACCTTCTAAATATTAGACTTGTCTGTTTTTGTAATTATTGAATTCAATAAAGACCATTCACTGAATATTGATTCGTCAGTTTTTATTCGTTGAGATAAATCTCCATATATTATGGCATCATTCTATAGATCATTAAATTGCTTTTATTGTATTATACATGACAGACATATTTAATAATTGCATCCTTAAATACATTCACTGTAATGTTATGATTTTATACAATAAAAATGCAAATTATTGCTATTATCAGAGAGTTTAAAACGTCAACTGTCTGATTAAAGTTAGTTAAATGAACTAGGGTTATTTTGAAATTTTGTTTACCTTTAATACTAAGGCTAGTCAAATGTCTGGGTGGGAATTATGACAAAACTGATAGTATTGTAATGACAGAAGATAAGGGCTAGGCTACAGGTTGGTAATTGAGAAAATCAAGAGGTATTTATAGATTTTTATGTACATTATTATTAGCGCTATTGTTAGCAGAGACACAACCTTCTCTGATTGGTTGTTTTCTTGCTGAAGGTTATTCTGTACTGGTTGTTATCGCTTCTCAGAAAGTTAAGCCGAATTTCTGCGAATCGTATTTGCATACGCCCAGTCTTCCGTGATTGGTTGTTGAGTTCTTCAAGGTTAAGCTTTGTTTTGTCTCATGACCCCGATTCGGGATGTAAACTTTGAAATCAATTGTTGTCTACAATTTTAGCTTGCAGACAGCCCTCGTCACAGTATGATTAGTCTATCCCACAAAGGCCATCAGTTGATACTAGTTGAAATATATGATAAATGTGAAGACAAATGACATCTACTGAACGAAAAAAAGATGAAGTTTTAGTCAGTCAGTATATTATTTGAGTTTTTGTAAGCGAACGAGTACGTAGAGGAAGATAGATCATTTTATAAATGACCAGAATAACTGTGACAAATTTATGTACTAGTCATTGTCACAAACAGCGTCAGTTGTCCGGGATCCGATTTCCGATCGTGGGATTTTTAATCATCTCCTGGCCTACTAGTGTGTGACAAGTATGGAAAATGGGTCAGGTAGGGTGTAAGACTGTGAGTTGGAGGTCCAGTGGCAGACTGCTCACCAACAATGCTACACGTGGTCCGGAGCTCGATCATCGGTCTATGGATTCCCAAACCTCGCTAATCCAGTAGTAAGACCGGTAGAGATGGAAGATTGGGCGTGAGGCTAGCAACCGCACCTTATAAAAATAGAATCACTGCTACTCAAACTTCAAAGCTCTAGCTTGAAGCCCCATTTTCCACTGGGCAGGTAAAGGAATAAAATAAATAAAAAATGAAAATAATGAGGGCGAGACTAGTGTCATAAACGCTACTGAAACTTTACAGACTGAAAGCCTACCTTCTCCCTTGAATGCAAAGATATGCGCGAAAGTTTCTTATACGATTGTCATTAAAACAAATAAGCTTTTGACAGCCTGGTTGTGGTCTTTGGGATTCTAAGAACCAGTGGATGGAGACAATTGGTGGTATAAGTTGAAGTCGTTTTACAGTTGCGCAGATGCACACACACACTTCTTATCATTATCGTTATTTTGATTCTCTGTTTTCCTGTCATTTTTCTTCTTTCGTGTGGTGTCATGGAGCTTGAGAAGTTGAACTGTTGTACTTCTATGCAAAGGTTTGTGCTGAAACTAGTCAATTACTGAAACAAAAGTCAATGTTTATTATAGATCTAGGGATTAAAAACATCACGTCTACAGAGAGAGTATTCCATTCGGACAGTAGAAATAATTTAAAATTGGATAATATCAGGGAGAAAAAGTTGATATTAGATATAAGCCTGATAAATGCATAATTTTTTGAGAAAATAACATCAATCAATATGTTTTTAATAATAATAACATCTTTATTCTGGAAAGTATTTATAAAATGCACAGAATTTTCAGAGGAGTTTATTGCAAGATATTTTCCCTTCTTACAATATTATTAATGTTACCTTTAGTTACTAGAGGAACATAGGGCTTCAGCCACACGTCTCTAGTGCGTTTGGTCCTCTCCCAACGTTTTCATCTGGCTCCACGTCGGCCCACATCCTTTCATCTCCTCTTCACATCACCTTCTCCATGTCACCCCACCCTCGCACTGACGACCAACCGATCACTTCCTATTTGGGTCCCACTCGAGCGATGGCCTGGTGTGTGATATCATTGATGGATTGTTCTCTCAGAGTGTGGCCAATTCACCTCGATCTCTTCCTGCATATTTTTTGCACAATCGGTTCCTGCTGGGTTGGTTGGTTCGTTCTCAGAGACCCCTCACTATTACTGATCTTTTGTGGCCGGCCATCTGATCTTGACTGGTATTGAACGACGAGAGCTGTTGATGAAAGTCTGTATTTTGTTCGAAGTGCCCTTCGTGACGTGGAGCCAAGTCTCTGATCCGCATAGTAGAACCGACTCCACATTAGAGTTGAAAATCCGGATATTATTTTTCATGCTGGGTGCTGTTGATCTCCACACAGACTTGAGAGAAATGAAATCTTACCTTGCTTTCCCGATCCTCACTGCTTTGACTTCCTCGTCAGTTCCAGCAGCCTGTAGTTGAAACGATGCTTCCCAGGTAGGTAAGTAGGTAGATGAAGGAGGTTGCTTCTTCAGATTCCTCCCATTTATGCCGGCTGGTTGTTGTCTGTTGTTGTTGCTGTTACCGTTGCTGTTGTCCAAGAATTCTCATCACCTACCTCTGTTTGCCTGGAGGCCTATCTTCTCTGCATGCTTCTTCAGCTCACTTGTTGCTTTTCCCTTGCATATCTACCAGTTTGTGGGAAATCAGACATAAATATGTCATCAGCAAAGTCCAAACCCTTCAAGCTTTTATGTGGGTCCATTTTATGCCTGTTTGCTCGCTGCCAGCCAACTGTCTGTCGCATCATTCAGTCTCTAACACATTTAGGAAATCATTGGAGAAAGTAGGCAGCTAGCCAGCCTTGTCTTACTCCCGTCTTCACTTCGAAGGATTTCATGAGTTCCTTGTCGTGGATTACTTGGCATGCAGCATTGTCATACAACTGTTGAATGAGATGTATGACTGTCGGCAGTACACCGTAGTAGTGAAGTTGTTTTCAGATCACCCCTTGATCGACGTTGTCGAAGACCTTTTCAAAGTCGATGAAGTTGAGTTACATTGCTGACTGTTATTCTAAGCTCTGCCCAATGATGATCCGTAGAGAGATGGAAGGTGTTGGTATCCCAAGTTTTAGGCATGTCGCCAATTCATCTATTTTTTCTGAAGTTCCAGGGATAATCCCCCATTTAAACACTAATAAAAAAAAATGAACGACCAGCTTAACGATGAATTCATTTTCTGCAGCTATACAATGACATTTAGGTACAACTTTTCCTGGAAGGAGGATATTACGGAAAATGATGAGTATTCATAACCATAATTACTTATATTAATCAATACTTTTTAGAGGAGTTGTATGAAAGTGTCAATATTACATGAAGGGATAAGTAATTAAATCCGGATACGCAATATTATATTTCCCTCCATACCTCTTCGAATCCTGAGTACAACTCATTCGTTGAATTATTTGTCTCCATTCATTAATTTTGATACCCTTGTTCAATTTCTTTTATGTATAGATATATGTTGACAATTATAGATATGAGAACCCATCCCTTTTACCACCTTCCTCTTTCATGAAAAGAATTGCATATAAATACGATTTTACATTTAAAGAAAATGAATTTGCTGAAGAGAGATCCTTCACTGAACTATTTATTTGAAATTCAATACAACAAATATGTCGAATAAAATGTCAGCATTACTAAAGAAATTCCTAAACTCTCTGTGAAGAAATCAATAAGGATAACATTCTATGATATGACTGTCGTTGCGTATAGAGATTTATATTGCATTTTGATCTTAAATGACGATAGTTCAAATCATACCGCTATAAACGTTTGTGAAGTAAAACTCTCTATCGATATAATCAAAAGGATCTCAGAGAATAATATGCCAAGTATCTTTTCAAATTCTCATTATGGATTCAGTGGGTTGATATTTATTAGTATGACTAAATGAATTCAGAGTTCGAATGTAAATTCAGGTGGTAAAATGTTCTCGTAACTATCTTCAAGTAAACTGTAAGAAATTTCTGCCAGATCGATTAACGTGTAGATTATTGGACTGAATAAATGTAGGAAATTATAAAAATCGCATGTATTTCCATAATAAAAGTGCTGATCATACTTGTGTTGATTTGATTATTTCATGGAAGGTGGGTGTTGGAACCAGGTCAAGTTATCTCCTAATCTGTCATTCATTCCTATTCAAACAATTAGAACCCGGTGTTTGCGCACTGCTGAAGAGTCCCAAAGAGCTAGGATGAAACAACTGTCCAGTAATCCCTGCAAGTTCTCCAATGGTTCTCTAAATGATGTCAGCTCATGATGAATCCTTCAACCAATCAAGCGAAATCCCCACAAAAACCAATACTTAAAAATTTGCATTCCATTTTTAATATGAAGTACTCCCAATATTATTATTATTATTGTTTCCTTTAGTTCCCTGAGGGCTTCAGGCACACGTCTCCATTGCGTCCGGTCCTCTGCCAACGTTTTCACCTGGCTTCATGTCTGCCCACATACTTTCATCTCCACTTCGAATCACCTCATCCATATCACCTTCGCACTGATGACCAACTCACCGCTTCCTATTCGGTCAGGTTCCACTTGATCGATGGCCTGGTGTGTGATGTCACTTGATATAAGATACTTAACATTGTGAACATTGTCTCATACTGAAGTACTATGATTCACTCACTGTTTATAATCTAAGTTTTTTTTAAATTTCCGGTTTAATATTACTTTGGTAAAGCTATCAGTAGTATTAATTAAATAGCGAAACGTCAGCAAAAGAAACAGCAATATCATTCATTGGGAAATACAAGACTTGTTTTATTATTTAAAATAAATATCCTTTAACCAGTGCTCAAATTTCATTAAACTATTAAGTGTAAAATTGGTTTGGACAACTCTATCTTATTTTTTTTTGTCAGATTGATTAACCTTTCCCAACTTTGAAGTTGTTTATTTTCTCTAAAATAATCACGTTTTACAGATCACCACTCAGTGTATATACTTAATCACGTTCTGAAATTAACATTTCAAGCGCGCGCGCACACACACACACACACAATAACAGCGGCAGAATAAAATTTATTATCTACTTTTCTTTTGTGATTATTATTATATTT